TCGTCCTACTACCAGTGGAAACCAGTGAACGCAACTAGCGTGAAAAGTTGAACATCTTCAATTACAGTCAACTGGGCGGTCCCCGCATTTCAGTACCAATTTCTTCTACCTGTACTTTGATAGGGTTGCGATCATGCCTGATATAGTCCATTTAAATGCTATCCTATATCTGACTGCCAATCTATTGATCTCAGGAGATTCTTTGAGCGCCCTAGGGACTTTCAACTCACCCCTTCCTGAACGATTAGACGGATAATGTCGCACCGAGTTTTGAGTTACCAGTCTTGTGAGCATCGTGCTCATATAATGATGGACGGGCCATATGCCCCGACCCTTTCAACTGTCTTTCTCCCAAGTCTCCTGTATGCATACCTTTTGCTTTGCGTTTTCCATGCAAGTTGGGCATTGCATTTTTGGTAAACCTGGGTTATGCGGCTTCCTGGAGAAGACAGGGGAATAGGAACGCTCCGCTCACTCGCTCTGTGTAAATTTCAGAACGGTTAAGCATTTCCAGGTCTAGACACTCACCCTAACATAAAGCTAAACCTTAACGTTACTTTTCAGCCTAGCCCTACCCTAACTGCGAACCCTTCAGTTAACACGAATTCACACCTAAACCCTAAAATACTCCTCACCCTAGCTCCGATCTTAACCTGAAACCTAACCCTAACCCTCATCTCAATCCTAAACCTAATTTCTCCGAAATTTGGCGTAGAGCAACGTGTACTACAAACGGTGCCTCTTCTACTGTCCCGCTTAGAGCATTATATAAGTCCTGCTTACCGATTATTCTTTTTTTCGTTCCTCCGACTGCCCAGACATCTCTTTCCCGCAGTTCATTCAGCCTGCTGATTTTGCTAATTGTGCCGTTTCCATCTGTATCTTTTATAACTCTGCTCACTGGTTCTTAATAGGTCGCCTAACAACACCTCCATATTGCACAAGTGGCCGTAGCTGCATTGATTCCTACAGTAGGCGCGTTTTAGGGGCTGTTTGCCACATCGAGACTGCACAGCAAAGGGGTTTAAAATAGTCACAAACTGTAGTAAACATAAGTACAGCAAGGACGGCAAGAATTCACAGGTCAAAGGCGCACACACCTACATTTCCCCCAAATAAACTGAACTTAACAGAACACACAGCCTGCCGCATTCTCATATGCAGGCTGAGCGTGGGACGGCCTTACCGCACCCACGGGGCAGCCACCTGGGTCCTGGTAACAGTACTACCTTCGTAGAGTCCTGGACTTTCACAGAAAGGTCACAAATAACATGGCGGATGCCCTGTCCACTATCTCATTTATCTCTTTCGGTCCACTGTTTGTAGCAATAGACCGAATATGAAAGGCCAGCGTAATGGACCTGGAGCCTATTCAGACAATCACCTGACGACTAGCAGTCAGCGGTCGATGGTGCACTATTACCGATAAAGCAAAGAGCCAGTGTAATAATCAATGTCGACTTATTTTTCCCGCTGCGGGCTGTAGGATAACTGGACTAGCTGGGAGGTTCTACCTCACATTGCTCAAAAGACATGTCCTACGACTACGCCGACTTGCTCTTGAATTTTTCTTAGAACAAATACGTATACATTCATACCACACAAACACACGCACTGAAACCCTAATTAAAAGATGGCTCTTGGATCTCTCTCTCTCTCTTTCTACTTCACATTCCATTCCATCATAATCATGTCGGTACTTGCGAACACTGTCAGTGAGTTCCGTCACCGAAGTATCTTTTTCCTCTATGTTTCTTTCCATGCATCTGTTTTTAAAATGAATTACTGACCTTACGCCGCTTTACCGTTCGTTAAACAGCTGCTAGTCTTGATCACCTACACTCAGCGACAGGTTCTTTGTTAGTGACGGTGCCTTCAGAATTTTTAATTATCGTCTGTATCAACCCTGTTCGACTTCAAAGCCATTCACTTAGCTCGGACCACCTTTCACGAAATGCCTCGTTTGCTAATTTCCTCTTTTCTTGTTTAGAGGGATCTACTTTTGCGCTTACCACAAGGGCCAAATCTTCTTCCAAGAGTACTTTTCGGAGGGCCATTCCGCAGTTTTCCTCTTATCTGCCGGTGTCGGAAGTGAGTTCCATGTTTTTTGGGTCAAAATAGCTTGTTCCCGCCTATCCTCCCATTCCCCGCCGCTGACACAAGCATGGGAGCACCGCCCGCACTACTGGTGACCTGGTGCTGCATTCCAGGAAGAATAAGTATTTCCGTGTCTTAGCAATAGCCCTAACCCTAACTCCCGCAGAGTTTAGTGTAAATACAGCCGTATCATAGGCGCTCCCCGTTCGCAGGTCCTGTCTGGTAGGGGCGGGGGGTGTTAGGACGGCCTAACGAATAGCCTTAGCAAGCAGTTAGCCTGCAAGCAAACGCCGCACTCAAAGCAGGCAGTCGATCGGCCTACACGGGCAAACGTACACAAGCCTACAATCAATCGATAATTTAAATTTCAAGCTAAATTCAGTCACTGAGTCACCAGCCAATCGTACCGGCAACTACGTCAGGAGAGAAGCTGATTGGTTTGTGGACCTATCTTACACACATCCGTTGCTCTAAATATGTTGTACCTATCACACTAAAAGACTTCTGCCGTTGCACCCTTATTGTCGTGTTCTTCCTTTGGGACCCACACAAGGCGTTACTTGGTGGTGATATCTCGGCCTGGGCTTCCGTTACAACATTTGGCGACGCAGTTTCAGAGCTCTTAATGTCCATTTCCTCAGAACAATTACCCGCTATCCTACAACAACGACAAACTCAATTCGAGGCGGCACACATGAAGTTGGTGGAGTCCATGAGGCAAAAATTCAGTTTGCATTTGTCTGACCCAGATTCCTCTGCGAAATTGTCCACATCAGCGGACGCAACTGCTGCTTCTATCACTGAGTTCATTTATGACCCCGACTTCGGAGTTCCTTTTGACGCTTGGTTTAAACGTTGGGGAGACATATTCCGCATGGAATTTGCCAAGGCCGATGATGCATGGAAGGTGCGCCTGCTATTACGCAAACTGGGCACCAGAGAACACGAGAGGTACGCGGATATCTAGGCCTTGGTTTCGGTTACAACAAAGGGGAGGCATATAGGCAGTTCATACCTTCACTTGCAGGCATAGGTGCCTGTTAACACCCACCCCCTCCCTCCTCGGGCAACATGGTGGAAGAAAGCAATACCTGCGTGTCATGGCTTATTCACAGGGGTGACGCTGGTCTGCGGCAGAACTACATCTCTCCTTTGCATCCCCTCCTGACCCTGACTGCGGTCCCGCATTGCGATGTCTAGGCGTCATTTCAGACGTCATCGGATGGGCAGACTAATCATGTCCCGCCACGAAAGTGGGCGCATGACCACTTAGCTTTCTGACTGTTTCATGACGCTAATCTGGTTACCTTCCATTATCTCTCGGATTGGCCTTTCCCACAAAAGTGACCCTTTCACTAGGCTGCCGCATTATATGCAGATGGTGTGCCATCTCATGAAATGCTAACCGAAAAATTAAAATGCATTTTCTCCTAGAAAGGACTAATTAAGTAGGGTTGCAATGTTACTTATAGTGTAGAGGACGAACCCTTAAGGATTACTTGTACGACCGCCTACACAGAACACGGAAACAGGAGCCGCCAGCACTACGTGTGTGATTTAGCGCCAACTTTCGCGGAAATTGAGATTAAGGTGGAGGGTAGGAGTTAAGGTCAGAGTTTGTTTTAGGGTCAAGATTATGTTAAGGTTTAGGTTCTTGTTAACTGTAGGGTCTAGGGCAGAGTTAGATTAAAATTATGCTTACAGTTTAGGGTTATTTCAGGGTCGGTGTTGGGTTTAGGACATGGGTATATTTACCCATTCTGAAATGTACCGCAGGGCCGCCTATTTCAAGTGGGCGGGGCGTTCCTACTTCCGTGTCCTGTTTAGGTGGCCATACAAGTCATCCTTGCCCAATCCCCAAATATTTTAATCACGTCAGGATCCCGACTTTTAACTTAGTTTTTTCCCGGCTGCAAACAAAAATTTATTATGTATTATTATTCCCCCCCGAGTTTCAATGTTTTCATTAATTTAAATATATATATATTTTAAAAACTACACATAGAATATTCTTTCTGGCTCTCATTTGGTAGCAAATTTCGTCTTTAAATTTTATGCTAAAGAAAGGGCGTCTTGCTGTTTGTAATCATGAGCAGAAGAGGGAATGTTTTTGTGCATGTTTTGTATAAAATATATCTGGATGTATAATGGCATTGAAAGTCAATGGAAAAGGTGGACATCACTTCAGTTGGTATTTTTATAGAGTGCGGTTCTTTTGGGCACGCCTAAAGAAGCTCAATTAAAAGTTGGTGTCCTCTACCGACTTAAATTTTTCGGATTATATTGCATCCTTATCCTATCTAACTGAAAACACACTTCAGGAGATAGGCCAACTGCTGTGGGGCTCAGGAACCCGCTTTAGGAAGCGTAATCTTTTACTCTATTCCCGCCCTCACTGGTAGATTGCAGTGAAGGAAAATGCCCTCTCTCCGCCGTTTTTTCTATGCAAGGGAGTTTGGATGGCATTTTCCTGTAATCTACCCGCGAAGAAGTCACATCGGCTCTTTATTTTGAGTTTCTGCGTGGTCTGCTAACCTAAATTGTTGCCTCAATTCTTAGGTATCACCGCGTCTACGTTAACGAGCCCGATTTGGTACGTCAAAACTCGCCTTCAACTCGACTCCCGGTAAGTATTTCTGTCTTGCCATGCAACTCTGTAATCGGAACGTATTGATCCACGTCACACCTACTCGAACACACATTGATTTCACCTGGCAAGTCCGTAACCGGAGGAGGAGGAGGAAGAGGAGCATTGATTGCGTTGAGGTTAGGCCTGAGGAATAGGTATCCTTGTGGAACCTGGTGTGGGGCCACCTGCAGTACCGACTCTTTTGTTTCTTGCTGCAGAACACAACAACCATTTCCACCATCCTTGCTCAGTCGTGTGTGTGTGTGGTTATTTAGAAATTGAAACGCCTATCAGACAGTCAGCGTGGTGCATGTTGCTCCTCTCAGCGGCAATTAGAACTGTATTTTAGGCCTTACGTTTAAGCATATTGGTGGGTACTGCTTCCTGAAAATAAGATACTTATCTACGACTGTTTTATTAAAACATTTCTCATCTAAGTTAATAAATTCTATTTGAGCAAAGCCAGCAAGTTCGCAGACGACGCCTGGTAGCGTGGATAAATTAGATACGAAATATTTTCCTTTGGAGAAGGATACTTTTTCTGTGAATCTTTAACCTAATAAGTATGATCGCCCGAGCTGCCCCTGAACTGGCCGACAGATTTTCGACTCGCG